AATCCAGTGGTGGTTTGGAATGAATACATAGCCGATCCAGTGGTGGTTTGGAATGAATACATAGCCGATCCAGTGGTGGTTTGGAATGAATACATAGCCTATCCAGTGGTGGTTTGGAATGAATACATAGCCTATCCGGTGGTGGTTTGAAATGAATACATAGCCGATCCGGTGGTGGTTTGGAATGAATACATAGCCAATCCGGTGGTGGTTTGGAATGAATACATAGCCGATCCGGTGGTGGTTTGAAATGAATTGCTAGTGACTCCTGACCTTAGCAATTGTTACAAGCAGGCTTTATTGCATCTTTAGGATGTACTGTTGATGCAAATTGTCTTACATAAAGTTAGGGAAACTGAAGCCTACAGGAACCAGACTGAAAATACACCTAGGGAAACAATGTCGTGGGACAATGTCTCATAACCTGTGTTGTATTCTTCTGTAGTCGCTGTGCAGACATCATATTCACAGATCACTTTTAATTAGGTTTTATCACAACAACGAATTATTGATTTTTTTCTGACAAAAGTAACGTAAAGCCAATCAACAAAAGAATCTTAAAATCTTGGGACCATGTGTATAGAATCTTTTATCATGAGGCCTTATTCACACAAGATGGATGGTTTGGGTCCATGTGTATAGAATCATTTATCATGAGGCCTTATTCACACAAGATGGATGGTTTGGGTCCATGTGTATAGAATCTTTTATCATGAGGCTTTATTCACACAAGATGGATGGTTAAGGATGCATCCTTTCTTAGAACATGTTGCAGTAAATGAGGTGTTTTTGTGCAAGGGCTTTATGAAAGTAAAAATTAGGAGTATTTTTATTACAAGAAAAGATTCTGAATGAAACTCATTACGTATTTACTTTATTTTAACATTTTGATGGTTCGTATGTTTACTAACTAAACTCTCTCTTGTATGTTTAACAGGATCTACACAGTAAAGTTGTTACTGAACAGCAGGAGTTCAGTGAATACCTTCGGTCATCTGTCAGACAGTGGAGTAAAATATTCTTGTATATACATCCTGAAGCTGAACGATACGTAAAGGTTAGTTGTTTTTTTTTTTTAACAGGATATGAAACTCAGCTGAGTTTGTAAAATTAAGAAAAAATTTTAAATGACAAAATAATACTTTGTAAGTTAGAAATGATAGTTTTTTTTTAATATTTCGCTTGAAAGATGTAATGGTTCTTTTCATGGAAATATCTTAGGTTTGAATAGCATCTCCCTTGCTTGTAGTTTAGATTATTTCTCATTGCTATGGGCCCAACATAGCCATATGGTTAGGGCAACCTGAGGGTCGCGTGTTCGAATCCCCATCCCACCAAACATGCTCGTCCTTTCAGCTGTGGGGGCATTATAATGTTTGGTCGATCCCACTATTCATTGGCTTAAAAGTTGGCAGTGGGTGGTGTTGACTAGCTTCCTTCCCTCTAGTCTTTCACTGCTAAATTAGGGATGGCTAGGGCAGATAGCCTTCATGTAACTTTGCACGAAATTCAAAAACAAACAAATTTCTATGATTTGTAATAAAAAAAAAATTACTCGCATTTAAAAAAAATGTACAATGAAGAAGAGCTTTTAAATTATAATCTTTCAAAGTGGATGTACGTAGGTCAGATAGTTTTTTAAACTTCAAGTTAGCAACTTATTTGAATAAATAAATATATACTGTCGTTATTTTTTGAAATTTGTTTTACAGGAATTAAAACGAGCTGAATTTTTGAGAGCTTATCGTTACAATAGATACCTTGTAACAGACAGGGTGCTCCCATTTCCAACCAATCTGGTACAGAAAGTGGCTTTTGAGAAGTTACAAACAATCTTACAGTTGGTAAGTCTTATTGAAGTTTTAAAACATGATTTTGTAAGATTTTTTAGTTGCCTTTACCCACAAAAATGATAAATTATATTTACTGTGATAAAATTATATTTTTTTACATTTCAGTTGGATCCACTAAACTGTTCTTTATCTTATCTGAGCAACCTTTTCTTTCCTTAACAATTTTGCCATGCTTATGTCTTAAGACTTTGGTAAGCCACTTCTAATATACATTTATGTTAATTTCCTATTTTCTCTGTAGCAGTCTGTTTCTTTTTATTACGTATATTAACTGATATTGAAACTGCTTTTACAACTACATATGCTTTACTTAGATCACCTCCCAACATAAAGCATAATACTCATCACTCGAAGCACTTGTAGGGGAAAGCATATTTTGTACAATATTCAGAATAATTAATTATTCAGGAAAAAAGTATTAATTTCAGTATCATGTATGTATATTTTCCTGTATGACATTTTGGAATGAAAACAGTCACACGGACAGGGTATAAATCACATCTTAGGACTGTACAAAATTAAGAAAGATGACTTTAAAAATAAATAATTATAAATTGTTGTTAACCCTTTGTTCCTTTTTTTTATGTGTGAAGTGGATCTTATGAACTAACACTGCCCATACCATTCATTGCTTCTTGTCCAAACTTAATAAGGATGCTGTCTATTCCTGTATTCTAGACCCTTCCAATGTTCTTTACTGTGTGGGATTCACATACAAGTAGAGATTTAATAACGGATTTAAGGTTTTCGTTTAGAATTTTCACATTTTCACCATTCCTTCTCTCGTGTGGATATTTCTGAAAAATAGTGACCTTTGCAGCTAGCGTAGACCCTATAATTAAAGTAAGCACAGGTAAGTATTGCTTATAAATAGGAGTCTCTTCTAAACTGTGAGATAGTCGAGAAATGATTGACAGAATAAGGAAGTAAGTGGAGCGGACTTAGTCAACAATAACTTGATGTATTAGCTATAAAATAATCAAGGAGTAACTTGTTATTTTACTTCAGTTTTAATGCTAAAAATGAGATATTGTACATCTATTGAATAAATACTTACCATACCATTACTTACATAAATGTAGCATTTATACTTAATATTGGCAGGGCAGACTTCCTCGGCTTGTGTTACCATCTTCGGACAGGAAATGCATTCTTCCTCTTGATTATAGCAAGATAATCAAGAGATTTCCAGTTCCAAACTTTTCCAATACCAAACAGTACAATCAAGTACACCCCAGTAAAAAGGTGAGATACCGTAATCCTTGTTCAACTTGAATTGTAGCAGCAAGCTGCTAAGTTTTTATATTTTAAACAATTTTTTGTTCATTTTCAAACTTGAGTAGAAAAAATATTGTGAAACTATGTAATTTACGTTCTGAACTTTTGTTTTCAACTAGATACATGACATTTATGTTTATTTGACGTTTTTAACGAGGTTTGTTTATTAGAAAATTACCTTTCAAATGTACTTTCCTGAGAAATTTGTTTAACTTTCAGGAAATCGGTTTTATTTTTTATTCTGTTGTACATTTTAAGTTTTCTTTAAACCGTATGTGAAGTAAAAGTTTTTATGACAAATAATGATGGAAAAGCTGAGGAAAAATTTTGTTAAATATTTGTGATTGAACAAATGTCTGGACGTCTGGAGTGTATCATCATTTTTTAACTCTTTCAATATGGGCTCAGTCGATTTGACCAACCACATGATCACTTTGTACTTGTTTAAAGTCATTACAGTTTTGATACTCCTAACTTTTATTTATTTGTGTATATTGTTGGTAATAAAAATGTTTTTATGGTGTGTGTGTGTGTGTTTCTAACTGTATTTGTGTGAATAAACCAGCTTGTGAATGAAGACACCATTGCTGAGAACCTTGCAAGAAAATATAATGCAGACGTTGTACTATCTTTGAATGCTCTAAAGACTCTGTTAAGTAACCAGAAACCACATTTTGATCAGCAGTGGGAGTTGCCGGTTATAATAAAGAACAAAGAAAGTAAGTGGTTCACTGGAATATAAAACACATCACACACTCAATGGTTTCTAAGAAGCTCTTTTAATTTTATCAGATGCTTGGTGAGGTGTACTTTTTAATCATTGTTTTTAATTTTTCTGTCTAACTTTTTAGTATTTAGCTAAGACCACTTAGCTTATACTATTTAAATTCAATTTGAGCTAAGCCTATCCTACTTATGACAAACTAAGCTTTTTGAACTTATTTTGGATATCCATATTCAATAAAACAAAATATTCTGTTTATAAAAGGAAAATGTTATATAACTTCAGGAACTGATTCAAATGCTTTTAATACAGAAGTTTCTAGAAAATTCTAGGAATAATGTTTATTATAGCTTATTGTTGACCAATGAAAAAAATGTGTCATAAACCACATAAACAATTATAAAAAATGCTAATAACGAAAAATAACATATTTTAAAACTATGTAACAAATCCTTTACATGAAATGTCACTGTATTGCAATATTTTTATAAAATGTTGAACCTGAGTGTTCCAACTTGAGAGTATCTCAGACAATTTACTATCAGAGCATTCACAAACCTGAACAAAACAGTGATGGTATAGAAGATAAAAAAAAGACTTTGTATGCAGATTATGAAGAATAAATTGATAAAGTTTTTCTTTTCCTCACATTAAAGAGGTACTAGAATTCTGCTCTGAAAGTCCAAAAGGTGTACTTGTTTTCTGCTCTGAAAGTCCAAAAGGTGTACTTGTTTTCTGCTCTGAAAGTCCAAAAGGTGTACTTGTTTTCTGCTCTGAAAGTCCAAAAGGTGTACTTGTTTTCTGCTCTGAAAGTCCAAAAGGTGTACTTGTTTTCTGCTCTGAAAGTCCAAAAGGTGTACTTGTTTTCTGCTCTAAAGGGTACCAAGTATTCCTTATGAAACGTTTGAATTTTTTCACGTCACTTGACACAAACATCTTTGCTGAATGGTAATAATCTCCCGCTATTGTTGTAGTAGTAGAAAATTGATTGGTACTGATGATGATGACACAAACTTGACACAAACATCTTTGCTGAATGGTAATAATGTCCCGCTATTGTTATAGTAGTAGCAAATTGATTGGTACTGATGATGATGACAAAACCTTGTCGAAACGTTGTACATTTGCTGTTATGTTAAACTTATATTAAAGTTTTTCTTCATTACCCATTCAAGCCATCTACAACCATTATTAGTCTTAAAATATGATAAAAATAATGTAAGTTGAAGATTTGTTTCCCACATTTTTCTTAATTAGTTTATATCAGATTCAAAATGAGAGACATGTAAAAAATAGTGTTTCACTTTATCTTTTTGTTACCCACAACTCCTTGTCAAACAGGCCTTTTGTTCAGTACCAAAACTCTTCAGTTGTGCTGAATGATGAGAAACAAAAGATTCTCTGAAATTCTATTTACATATGAAATATAATACTTTAAAAGTTATGGTTTAAACTGATGTGTTTTGGTATTGAACAAAAGATCTCTTGGACAGTGACTTGTTGGAGACTGAAATGCTATTTTTACACACTTTTTATTGTGAATCTGAAATGGACAATGAATAATAATTGGGGAACAAATGTACAGTTTAACTGGTTTTTATCATAGGCCTGTTGGTTTCTAATGCTTTGCCAGCTTATGGCATTTACACTATAACTCATAAACGTTTTGTGAGGATTTTGTAGCTTTATATTTGTCAGATCTTTGCAATTTAGATAGATCTGATATCTTATGGCTTAGAAGCTTCAACATTTTGTTTAAATTGTTTAGATGATATTGTTGTAATTTTTCATATCTTAAGAGTTCTAAATGCCTGTAAAATACAGATAATGACAATAAGGTTGCATTACTTTGTATGTATATTAATTTTTAATTAATCATAAATAAGTAATATAGCACAATTGTAATTTGTTAAGAAGGGATATATATATATATATTATTGTTATTGTCTTTACCAAAGATGATGATGGGCAGAAGGAAGAGAAGATAGTCTATGTGGATACCCCGATAATTTCAGACACGACCTGTTGTAGAGAACTCAACACACTTTTCCATAACTACTCGTTGAGAGTACAGTTCACCCACTTCAACCTGTCTCGAATGAGACGAATGAAAACAGTTACTGATGGGGAGGTAAACCAGGATCTTTCTAGGGCTGAAAATTCAGTTGCTGATGATGTTTTTGATGATGAAGTTAACAATATATCAAATCTAGAGACATTTGGTACAAATAACGGTGGTGACTTGTGTTATAATACTTCCCATACAGATTCTCAGGCTTTTGAGAAAAAAAACAATTTAATTGAATTTGGAAGAAAAGACTGTGACTTTGAAGATTTGTTTGTGAGCCAAAAAGCAAATGGCAGAAAAGATGAAGAAGAAAATAAAATCTCAATACCTACACACGTCACTGCTGGTGAAGACATAGAAATGAATCAGAAAAGGCAAGATATGGACAGTAAACAACATGATGGTGTTGAAACCCAGTTAACTCAAAGCATATGCAGTAATCTGAATGAATCTGATCTACAACAACAATCACGTGATGATGCTACGGGTATTGAACTGAGTCAGGAAAATTCATCGTATAATACGGAAGAGTTAGTCCTAAACGCTAATGAAAAGGAAGGGAAAGGTCAGCTTGAAGTTGATGAACACAACGTTATTGAGTTGGTTCCGTGTGTGGACTCGGACTCAGATGGTTTAATTATTGATTTAGAAAATAAAGATGATAAAGACAGTAGCAACACAGAGCACAAGGTTTGCAGTGTTGGTGAAAACTCTCTCTCTCAAATTCAGTCAGACTCCGACTCAAACGAACTTGTTATTGACTTTGAAGATAGAGACAAAAATAGCAATTGCACAGAGAAGAAAGCCATTCAGAATAACAGATCACAAAACAAGGAACAATCATCAGATAAAATACCAAGTGTTGAAACAAAGACCTGCTTTGTGGAAGATAACCTACCCAACTCGGGTGAGTCAAAGAATTCAGGTTCGAAACATCATAAAAACTTTGAAGAAGTGGGATATTGTCAAACACTTACAAGAAGTGACCTAAATAGGGTCAATCGTAATCCTGTACAAAACCAAAATCAAGATTCAGATAATCCCGATATCAGTTCTAATACTGACGAACTTCAACTTTCACCAGTTTCTAGACGTCAAGAAAAGTCACCTCCTTCACTCGCATCTCCTTACAGAAGGTAAGTTGGTATTCTTTTTGACTGTATCACTGTTCTCTGTTTTATTTAAGTTTTGATTGAAGTTCACTTTGAATGTCATAAAAACTCAAGTTACAAAAAAAATCTTTTGACTAAAAGGAGATCTTGATGATGGAACGGTCAAATCGTGACAGACTCTCTTGGAATAATTGTTAAGTATGATTTTAAAAAAGTATCTATTTTGTGATGACATTTTTAGTAACATATACTTAAGATATTTAATCTTGGAAGAATATATTTCGATGTTAAGTTGCATCGTATAAAATGTCTGAACCAAAAATTTTTTATCCCTGTTATGTTACTATGCATGAAGAAACATCACAATATTAGTAGAAATATTCTGAAATAATTCACTTTTAACTGGTCCAGTACAGGTTACTGCCATTACCAGATGTCTAAATATTGTACTTGTATGGAATCCATGAATGTTTTAAATTTTAAAAAAACTAATTTCAGAATTATGTATTTAAAAATATTTACATTTTACTGTTTTGTTGGCTTAATTTTCTGTTAATTTCAAATTATATTAATTAGACTTGAAAGCTTTCAAAATATATCATTTAGTGTGTTTAGGAAACCTTTATTAGTGTGGCTTCAATTTTTAATTAGTTTTAACCTTATTGCAGGAAGAATGGAAACTGTTTTTATTTTAACTTTTCTTTCTCTTTTCATTTTTGAGGGTAACAAGAAGCCAAACCAAAAAATCTGAAGTTGATATCACACCAAAAATAGAACTCGGAAAGCAGTCTAAGATATCACAACCTGGTCAACGGAGTAGTGAGGACAATAAAGTCAGGAGAGTAAGTGCTAGGCTTAGACGTCAATCTCAGCGTTTGTCCTCTGCTAGTGAAGATGAAGGAGCATTTGTAAGAAGGAGTGGGTTCTCACCGCCAAAGATTTCTAGGAGTGGAAAAAAACATTCATTGTCAGAGAGCAGTAATAAAAAGTCCACATTTACAAATCTTACTAAAACAGAAACGGCTGTAGATTCTGGATCTATGTGCCAGTCAGGAGACAACACCAACTCAAGTTATCCTGTTGAAGCTAGCAGTTGTGAAGTAGAGAATCTAGAAAAGCAAACTTACAGCAGCTCAGAAAATGATCTGGTGATTGAGGAAACAGAGAAGAATGACAAAAATGACTTTAAAGAAAACAAAAAGTCCTCCAAACAGAATCTTAATATTCAAGGCACACAGTCAGTAGAAATGAAACCCCAAAATAAGCAACACGACAAGAATAACACTAGTCAATTTGATTCTTCTTCAAACCAGAGATTTAACCAAGAACTCAACCGCTCGGCAAGTGCAGGTTTTCAGTTTTCACTAGAAGATGAAGACCAGACTTTACAGAGTAATAATGAAGTCAAACAAAGTACAGATGTAAAGAATAACCAAAGAATTGTTTCAGGTAAATAAAAAGTGTGAATTACAACATATTACATGTTGAAGTTTCAGTCAGTCTAGGGTTTTCAACTGTGAATTACAACATATTACATGTTGAAGTTTCAGTCAGTCTAGGGTTTTCAACTGTGAATTACAACATGTTACATGTTGAAGTTTCAGTCAGTCTAGGGTTTTCAACTGTGAATTACAACATGTTACATGTTGAAGTTTCAGTCAGTCTAGGGTTTTCAACTGTGAATTACAACATGTTACATGTTGAAGTTTCAGTCAGTCTAGAGTTTTCGTAGTTAATAAAATTTTTAACACTAGTGTCATGAGTCAACCAGCCGACTAAAAATGGGATTTTTAACAGTACCAACTCGAGGATTGATTCCAAAAGAAGGAAGGTAGATAAGTTGTTGACAGATGGGCATGGGATGGGTTTTTGTTTAAAATATAAACAGAATGAAACCTATGGAAAGTAAATTTAGAATCTCTGAGAAAGAACGATAATTTTTGCGGTTGAATATTGTTGTTCGTATTACAGACACTTGTGTTGTACGAGGATCTTTATCAGTTTGGTACATTTGTGTCATTGACGTACCACACTGACTCTACAAATTAATTGTCTTACTAATTCAATTAACATGAAATTCTTAAACTTAGTAACATTTTAAAATTTAAATACAGCTCCATGAAATAGCTTATACAAGCTCATAACACAGATGCGTAAAATAAAGATATGCATTAACCCCTTTAGACACATATTTTTTTCATTCTTATAACAGTCAAAACCAGTCAGGTAATTCAGATTCAGAGCCAGAATCATCTTCAGCTTGCACAGGTTCAGTTGTCTCTTCAAATGTGAAAACACTGGAGTGATTTAATGCAATTTAAAGTCTGTCTTCTCATAAAAATTAAACAATTTTCAACTGCAAAAATATTACCGATGTTTTGAATAGCAACATACGCCATGTGCAATGCAAATCCGGGGCTGAGATCATCATCTGTGAAGATTAGGCTTTGTCCATTGATTTTGTAAGATCGACTAGCATTTCTAGTCACATTATATAGTCATCATTGGTGACAGGCACACCTAAATAGTTAGCCCTCTTGCTATGGGTAGGTCAAAGTACACATCACAACCTTTTAAAGTTACTACTTTATTATCAATGTATACGAATAAACTTGGCATCAAAATGTAGTTAATAAATCAAAACAAGATTTCATTTCTTAAGTTTATAAAGAAATATTTAAGTAAATCCTCATTTTTCCCTAGTATAAGAATTGTAACGTTTGTTCTCTAGGTCTTCTGTTTTGTTCATTTATTTACCACCACTTTCTGAAGTACAGAATTAAATGTAAATTACTGGTTATAATTTAGGTATTACTCAGGCAAAGTCTACTTTTATAGTCTTCAATCTTTGTTTCCAGAGTCGTAAGCTAAAAAATCAGACCCATCTGACACACTATCTTTTTCACCACTTTCTGAAGTACAGAATTTTATATTACTCAGGCAAAGTCTACTTTTATAGTCTTCAATCTTTGTTTCCAGAGCCGTAAGCTAAAAAATCAGACCCATCTGACACATTATCTTTTTCATGAATAGCCAGTAATCCTGTCTGATGTTTTATATAACACATAACCAATAAAAAGGCCAAGTTTTAATCTTTTTGAATGACATATAATGCTACATTGTTTTCAGTACATAGCATTATCAATTTTGTCTTCAGTTTGAAAGTATCTCATGGTGTTCAGATTGAGGAGCTAAGGAAATTATTTTAAGCCCCCTTTTGTCTTGGTTAGAAAGCCAGTTAAATTATAATAGTTGTTGGATGCTGTTTGTTTTGTGCATGTTATTTTTTTGTGTTCTTAAGTGTATTATTTAAGTAAATAAAAAATATTAAGTGTACTAGTAACATCAGTATAACAAAAAATAAGGCTTAAATTTCATCGGTAACCGACAGCAAAAAACGAGCTCAAAGGTTAGTACTATATTTTTTGTTTATTGTTATAAGAATAACTAAAATATAGAAATTAGAAACTTATTAGGTTAGATAAGACAAGGTTATGAAAAAAATAATAATAAAAGTTATTTCCAAGGTATGTTTTCCAACAGCTCATGTGTTACACCATTCAATAGGGTAAAGTGATTTAGAACTTGTGTGGCAGGATTATTAGTTAGACACAGTTCAAAGGACAATTAATGTCAATGATTCCACATGATAGTACCCAATGGACCAAGCCAGCACATACTGGGTTAATGTCAATGATTCCACTTGATAGTACCCAATGGACCAAGCCAGTGCATACTGGGTTAATGTCAATGATTCCACTTGATAGTACCCAGTGGACCAAGCCAGCACATACTGGGTTAATGTCAATGATTCCACTTGATAGTACCCAAAGGACCAAGCCAGAGCATACTTGGTTAATGTCAATGATTCCACTTGATAGTACCCAAAGGACCAAGCCAGTGTATACTTGGTTAATGTCAATGATTCCACATGATAGTACCCAAAGGACCAAGCCAGTGCATACTGGGTTAATGTCAATGATTCCACTTGATAGTACCCAATGGACCAAGCCAGCACATACTGGGTTAATGTCAATGATTCCACTTGATAGTACCCAATGGACCAAGCCAGCACATACTGGGTTAATGTCAATGATTCCACTTGATAGTACCCAAAGGACCAAGCCAGTGCATACTTGGTTAATGTCAATGATTCCACTTGATAGTACCCAAAGGACCAAGCCAGTGCATACTGGGTTAATGTCAATGATTCCACTTGATAGTACCCAAAGGACCAAGCCAGTGCATACTGGGTTAATGTCAATGATTCCACTTGATAGTACCCAATGGACCAAGCCAGCACATACTGGGTTAATGTCAATGATTCCACTTGATAGTACCCAAAGAACCAAGCCAGTGCATACTTTGTTAATGTCAATACATGATACTTGAATATGATTGCCAAGTTCAGTCCTGCTAACCACAGATTCAACAATGGTGCCGATAAGATTCAAAAGGGGGTTAGGCACACAAAATCCATAGTCAGGTTCGAGTTTAGTGACCTAGTCCTAGACACTAATTGTGCCTGGGTGCATTTTATTCCTCTTGCTGTGGGGGCTACACCATGTACATAAGACCCCTCCAAGTCTGCTTTTCAAGCTTGGTCCTGCCAGCTCCAAAGCTGTCGATGGAGTTTGCAGGCAAACCATTTCATGTACATGAATTGTTATAGGAATAAAAATTAATAAGCTTTAAAACTATTAGATACATTTTTGCTCTCTAAGCAAAGATGAGGACAGTTTTTATAATTCATTTTTGAGTGATAAATGACAATTTGATTATAATCATTATTGTAAACACTGAAATATCAACCATACTATGTGTCCCTTGTACAGCTTCCTCCACTCTCGATGAGATTTTGACTCTGCAGGAAAGAATGTTCAAGAAAGATGGTGAAAAACAAAGTTGTTTGACCGGTACAGTGACAGTATCCCAAGAAGGTGAGAAAGTTAAGAAGGTTTCAAGTGTTTTTCATGTTCGTGTTAAGTTGTCACGTATTGTTACCCATTTTATTCTGATCACAAGTGTTGTGTTATACAAGTGAATGAAATATGGGTTTTACTTCTGTATTTTAACTATAGAAAATAAATGTATGGGTAAGAAATACATGCAGTGTTCTTTTTTATCCATTCTCTAGATGTTATCCCTGATTTGGTGCAGACTGTCTTTGTGTTCTTTTTATTCATTCTCTAGGTGTTATCTCTGATTTGGTGCAGATTGGCTTTGTATTCTTTTTAACTATTCTATAGATGTTATCCCTAATTTGGTGCAGACTGTCTTTGTGTTCTTTTTATTCATTCTCTAGGTGTTATCTCTGATTTGGTGCAGATTGTCTTTGTGTTCTTTTTATTCATTCACTAGATGTTATCTCTGATTTGGTACAGATTGTCTTTGTGTTCTTTTTATCCATTCTCTAGGTGTTATCTCTGATTTGGTGCAGATTGTCTTTGTGTTCTTCTTATCCATTCTCTAGATGTTATCTCTGGAACACAAAGATAATCTGCTCCAAATCAGAGATAACACCTAGAGAATGAATAAAAAGAACACAAAGACAATCTGCACCAAATTAGGGATAACATCTATAGAATAGTTAAAAAGAATACAAAGCCAATCTGCACCAAATCAGAGATAACATCTAGTGAATGAATAAAAAGAATGCAAGGACAATCTGTACCAAATCAGAGATAACACCTAGAGAATAGATAAAAAGAACACAAAGATAATCTGCACCAAATCAGGGATAACACCTAGAGAATGGATAAGAAGAACACAAAGATAATCTGTACCAAATAACAGTAACAAACAGCATACAGTGAAATAAGGCTAACCCGAACACAAAATAAAAATGTTCAAATAAATTCAGCGTAACACTTACATCCCTACTTACGTTACACTGAGTTTCCTTTCAAATAATACACACAGTCATCTTAATCTACACACCTGAAATATTCACCTCAAATGACTCTTTATATAAACTTCAACAAAAATGTCAAAGTTCAAAACTGATTTTCAAATATCCTTTATAGAAATACAGAGGATCACATGCACATAGTTTGGTTAAAATTGGGGAGGGCAAGTGTAAGGAAGAACTGGTGAATGAATGAGGCAAACTGGCATGATACATGGCACCAAATCAGGGATAAAATCTACAGAATGGATAAAAAAAGGAGTGGAAGACCCAAGTGAATATCCACCACTAGAGCCATTTGAAAATGTAACGTACAGTCTGTGGCAACTTGAAGATCTTAAACTCCTGTTAAGACGCACCATGGATTGTGTTCAGTCTCCTTCTAACAAGCCTGTAAGTCGTTAAATCACTCTCGTGAGGCTAGAGAAGGAATAAGTCTTGATAAATAAATCCTGGATTATCTTCAATAGATGTAAAAAGTCTGTAAGTTAGTAAATAAGTGAAAAAATATAGAAAATTGAAAGATTATTTAATTTTGTATTTCACTTCAATTAAAACTTAAACAGACACGTAATTAGAATTATCATCACAAATGAGATTCATGGCCCTGACTTAATTTTTCATTGAATTCAAATATTTGATACTTTTTTCTTTTTTTCCAATATATTTTTCACTTATTTCCATAATGTTTCTCAAAAATATCAATTATTTTTGGTTTTATCCAGGCAAAGACCGCGTTCATAAACTCACTTATGAATATTTTTTGATTAATTTTAATATAATTGTGAAGTAATACCGATGAACATTGTATTGTGTAATGTCAAATGCGTACTTTGTTACATTAAATATTTGATATCTTTGCTCGACTAAAAATACTTCCTCGCCATTACTTTATCAAAGTACAAAAATAACTTTATAAATCACCAACTGCTGTTTGTACAGGAAAAAAATATGATTCAAACTTCAAAGTGATCAAATTTCTAGAACAAAAAGTAAACAGTAAACATGCAAATACATTCATCTCATGAAATAAAAAGCTCCATCTCTAACAGTATTAAGCATGGATAATCATGGATTATCTTCAATACATATCCATGGTTTATCTTATAAAAACTTACTGCTTCTCCAAGGCTGATTTAATAAATTAGGCTTGTTACATGTACCTAGTTTTGGAAATAAATTCCACTGAAACAAAAAGAGTGTGTGAATCAACTACTTAGTACAAATGTTTATTATGAAACGTAAAACATTTAATTTTGATTTCCAGTGCACATTTCTTCGTTACAATCATCAGTCAACATTTCTATAGTTCAGATCTCATACTGATCAATCACTAGCTTGTTACAATGAATCATTTCAAACATTTCAAAGTTTTCAAATCAGTTTAGGTAATTTTCATTGTAATATGTATTGAAGATAATCCATGGTTTATCTTAAAAAAACTTACTGCTTCTCCAAGGCTGATTTAATAAGTTAGGCTTGTTACATGTACATATTGTATCAAAGATAATTGACATATGCAGAAATTGTGAAGATTTCAGGATTAAGACATACCGGAAATTTCAGGATATAGACTTATCAAGAAAGTGTCAAAATTTCAGGATCTGGATACATCATATTTTACAACACACAAGCATCATTAAAGTATTGAGATTTTAAGAAAAGAGTGAAAATGATAATAGAGATGCACTATAAAAGACAAGATTTAGAATAAAAACATATCATGAAAGTGGAAAGGTTTCAGGAAACTGAATTTTATCTTTTGAAACACTAAAAACAAGTAAAATTTCCACGTTCAGATTTTGTTTGCTCTAGTGAGTGCTCACATATTAATTTTGTACTTAAGTGACCAAATATTTAACATTAAGCCTCAAAAATAGCGTCCAAAAATGCCTCTGCATATAAAGTAAAAATTATGAAAACATAAAACTGAACATTTTTTTAACGACAAAAAATGAAAACAGTGTTCTCTTCACAGCTGTTTAATAATAATTTTTTAAGGAACTGACAGAAAAACACAGAATAAATGTCTACACATAATTCACAAATATACCCTGAAGTAGACGACTGTTCGGTAGGGTCAGTAGGTCAATCCACTGATGGCACAGTTCAGTTGGAGTTGTAACTTCTCCACCATACTGGGGAAGGTACTTTTCTGGATCCATCTACATCCTAAAATCTTGTCACTTTCTGGATCCATCTACATCCTAAAATCTTGTCACTTTCTGGATCCATCTACATCCTAAAATCTTGTCACTTTCTGGATCCATCTACATCCTAAAATCTTGTCACTTTCTGGATCCATCTATATCCTAAAATCTTGTCACTTTCTGGATCCATCTATATCCTAAAATCTTGTCACTTTCTGGATACATCTATATCCTAAAATCTTGTCAC